CCCCCTCTGACCACTATGTTGCGTATTTTCATGAGGGATCAAAACCGCAACCCCGTGTGACAACTATGTTGAATGGGATATTACCTTCAGCTTATCTTCGAACCCGAACCCGAACCCAAACGCGAACTGGCAGAGCTCGTCCTATACTGCAATCCAGTCCTGCACCTTAACCCGAACCCGAACTCGAACCCGAACCCGATCAGTTCATGTTCACGCTCACGTTCATGTTCGCTGCGCCCGAACCCGAACCCGAACCCGAAGTGTCCGAGCCCGCCCAGTCTTTCCAAAATCTTTTCAATCCAGTTGCTTGGTACCTGAACCCGAACCCGAACTCGATCAGTTCACGTTCACGTTCATGTTGACCGTACCCGAACCCGAACCCGAACCCGAACTCTTAGAGAGCCTGTCCTCTATACAGCCATCCAGATGTGAACCCGAACCCAAACCCGAACCCGAACCCGAACTCGATCAGTTCACGTTCACGTTCACCTTCATGTTCACCGTACCCGAACCCGAACCCGAACCCGAACTCTTAGAGAGCCTGTCTCTATACAGCCATCCAGGTGTGAACCCGAACCCGAACCCGAACCCGAACCCGAACTCGATCAGTTCACGTTCACGTTCACGTTCACGTTCATGTTCACCGCACCCGAACCCGAACTCTTAGAGAGCCTGTCCTCTATACAGCCATCCAGATGTGAACCCGAACCCGAACCCGAACCCGATCAGATCACGTTCACGTTCACCTTCATGTTCACCGCACCCGAACCCGAACCCGAACTCTTAGAGAGCCTGTCCTCTATACAGCCATCCAGACGTGAACCCGAACCCGAACCCGAACCCGAACCCGAACCCGATCAGTTCACGTTCACGTTCACCTTCATGTTCACCGCACCCGAACCAGAACCCGAACCCGAACTCTTAGAGAGCCTGTCCTCTATACAGCCATCGATCCAGATGTGAACCCGAACCCGAACCCGAACCCGATCAGTTCACGTTCACGTTCATGTTCACCGCACCCGAACCCGAACCCGAACTCTTAGAGAGCCTGTCCTCTATACAGCCATCCACATGTGAACCCGAACCCGAACCCGAACCCGAACCCGATCAGTTCACGTTCACGTTCACCTTCATGTTCACCGCACCCGAACCCGAACCCGAACTCTTAGAGAGCCTGTCCTCTATACAGCCATCCAGATGTGAACCCGAACCCGAACCCGAACCCGATCAGTTCACGTTCACGTTCATGTTCACCGCACCCGAACCCGAACCCGAACCCGAACTCTTGGAGAGCCTGTCCTCTATACAGCCATCCAGATGTGAACCCGAACCCGAACCCGAACCCGAACCCGATCAGTTCACGTTCACGTTCACCTTCATGTTCACCGCACCCGAACCAGAACCCGAACCCGAACCCGATCAGTTCACGTTCAGGTTCCCCACCCCTGGCGCACACACTGAGAATTAAAGATATTTGCCGGCAATCTTTTTTCTAGGTTTCCTGCAATGCTCAGAAGGGCTTTGTGCCTTGTTGCTGCTCCGATCCCAGCCGTTGCAGGCGCTCAACAGCAGCTCAGATCTTGTGCCGGGCTTAGATGAAGATGTTCAGTTTACTTGATTCAAAAGGCGAGCAATGACAACTTTGCTGTGGGCAGCGAACAAGTCAATGCATTCTGGGGTGGCATTGTTTAGTTCAAGCACAGCGAGTTTGGTAGGGGCTGTACTCGAGAGTAGCTCACTAGTCTGCTGGCCACGACTTTTTGCGGATCAGTGAGAGCTTTGACAAGAATGCCGATGCCAAACTATTTCAGTCTGTGAATAATGGGTCAGGGGTTCGCTTGGAGCGCCGAAAAGTGGATCGCTTAGAGCGCCGGAAAGTGGATCGCTTGGAACGCCGAAAAGTGACATAAGAGATACATAGCGCATCATAGCGCTAGAGTTCCAAATATGCGCAGAGGCATATATAGACATAAATGGATGCATTCATATGTCGCTGAAGCACGCGATAACATTCGACGCAATCCGCTTTTCGGCATTACTTGACGAAGAAACGTATCAGGAACGTCTTGCAAGTTACTTGGCGAAGATGTTACAACGTATCAGGAACAGCAGGCACGTTACTTGAAGAAGAGTTTTCAACGTATGAGGAACGTCTTGCAAGTTACTTGAAGAAGATGTTCCAACGTATCAGGAACATCTGGCAAGTTACTTGAAGAAGATGTTACGCCGTATAGGGAACGTCTTGCAAGTTACAGCAAGAAGATGTTACAACGTATCAGGAACGTCTTGCAAGTCACTTGACGAAGATGTTACGACGTAGCAGGAACGTCTTGCCTGTGTGTGCACAGGAGCATGAACGTTATTACCCCACCCCACCCCACCGGTAATTGATCATGAAAGAATAGTGCAGTGCCTGTGTCTGCAGGACAGCAAGAAAGATGATGAGGTTGCTGTGCCTGACTCCATGTCCCAGCCCCGTGTCCCCAAGTGTTACCCTAAAGGTATGATTCTCTGGTGCTCTGAGTGATCCACTTTTTTGGTGCTCTAAGTGATCCCATGGTGCTCTAAGTGATCCGGTGCTCTAAGTGATCCACTTTCCGGTGCTCTAAGTGATCTCTTAACCCTCAGCTAGCCTGATCTGGCCAGCAGTGCCAGCAGTATCAGAATATGATTTGTTTGTAAATGTCGTGTTGTTTACTGAAAGGCGCTCCAAAATCCTACCAGTACAATTTTCATCCACAGACCGGGAAATCTTTTCCTTGATTCTGCTTGCATCGACATGATCTTTCAGAGCAAGCACTTTTGAAGAAGCCGGGAATCCCCAAGAAGGATTGTAGACAATTAGCGGGGGGTGGACAGATCGAAGCGCTTTGAATCGAGCTTTTTGTCTTAGCAAGGAAAAGATCAAAAAGGGGGAAGTGATGTTTCAGGTTCGTTTGTTGCAACGTTTGTTTGAAATTCTTATTCAGTTGCTTGGCATCATTGCTTGAAGCTACATAAAGACCTTGACTGCTACCCCCAGCTGTGGCAGGATGTGGCTACTGCATATTATGTGAGTAGTGCAACATCCCTGCGTGCACAGGATGCACATGTTGAACAAAATCCTATTGCACAGCGTGCTTCTTTCGGGAATACATTGGAAGCTCGAGTGGTTTTTATTGACCAGGTCAGCGCCACGACTACCCGCACTTTCACCACAACAGAGGCCGTCATGCTTCAGCATGGTTGCAGCAAAATCGTGGCGCACAGTGCGCAGAGTGCATCAAGTTTTCGTTCAAACCGGGAAAATTGTCAGTGGACTTTGTTAGCGGAGAATAAGAGAATGTGAATGTTCAAACATGCCACATAATGTTTGCGAGTGGTCTTTGGGTGTTGTCGTGTGTTCTTTTACGTTATGAGTACTGTTCCATGTTTTGTCTTTAATCAGGGTTCTTTGAATCTAGTCTGTCTAGTCTCAGTCGAGTGCTGAGCAGGGTTTGCTGCAAGATGGTTCAGTCAGTTCAATCTTATTTTTCCTTTTGGACAAACAGCACCTTTGTACGACTAGGACAAGGCATCATCCCCATGTTGTTTGGCACACCATGAGAATTTATTTCTGCCCCTGGCCCATGGATCTCTGAGCGTGTCATGGATGGCTTATGCTGCAAGGCAATTCATTACGTTTACTACCCGTCCGGGCCCAAGATGGGCAGTGCTGCCAGGTTGAACTGAGTTCAGACCCATGGATTGCCTTGACGGGTTCTCCATTGTGTTTGAGACTGGGTGAGAACTGTTCCACGTGGCCGGTCCTGAGTATGAGAATTGTATAGAATTGGCGGAGCTGCAAGACGAGTTTCAGAATCCCAACTGCCCGATTTGCAGCACCCAACAAAAAACTGGCAGCAGAAGCAGATTCGGAGCTATGCCTTTTTCATCCTTTTCATTCTTTTTCTATGCTTGATTTGTTGCAAATCTCAGCTTATAGGACCAAGCCTCCATCGAGAAAGGCCGCTGCTTCGATCTTGCGGGTGGTCGTTTGCTTCATGTCAACCACCGTCCCACTCAGACACACATTTGTTTCCGCTTCAAGATGTAGAAAATCTCCTATCATGCTGCACAGAGTCGTGTTTCTTTTTTAGTTGGAAGAATGGCGCCTTAAATC